CTGATCACACAAATGGAATTTTCTTGTGAAACATAAGCAGATCTGAATTCATGCATAGAACCTGGGCTGAAATTGCTCAACAGGTTGACAGTTTGCAAGTTCATTAATCTTGTTTTTCATAGGAGCGCAATGTCCTTATTTTCGGCAAGGACATATTACACGTCCCTGGGTGGGCTCGAACCACCAACCTTTCGGTTAACAGCCGAACGCGCTGTCCAATTGCGCCACAGAGACTTGTGAGTATTCCAACCCTTTACATGGCATAATTTTGCCCCGATTGACACTAACGTTATTTCACTAAATTGTTATAACTGCACAAGTGGACCTGCAATGGACTGTCAACCTGTACCCCACCTGTTTGCCTAGAGACTGCTGGAGATAGGCACCAGCCCCCAGTAAACTGATGGATGTATGGAACATCGTTAATGTCGTATAAACTTTCCAGTGGTCAGGTTAATAAAACAAGTGAACTCCCCAAAAATTACTGATCACACAAATTGAAATTTCTTGTGAAACATAAGCTGATCTGAATTCATGCGTTGAACCTGGGCTAAAATTGCTCAATAGGTTGACAGTTTGCAAGTTCATTAATATTATTTTTCATAGATATGCAATGCCCTTAATTTTTAGCAAGGACATATTACACGTTCCTGGGTGGGCTCGAACCAACAACCTTTCGGCTAACAGCCGAACGCGCTAACCAATTGCGCCACAGAGACTTGTGGAAATAAATACACTTGACGTGGTATAATTTTGTCTCGCTTGACACTAACGCTTTTTGACTTAATTGTTATAACTGGACAAGTGGACCTGCAATGGACTGTCAACCTGTACCCCACCTGTTTGCCTAGAGACTGCTGGAGATAGGCACCAGCCCCCTGTAAACTGATGTATATATGGAACCTCGTTAATGTCGTATAAACTATCCAGCGGTCAGGTTTATAAAACAAGTGAACTCCCAAGAAAAACTGTTCACACAAATGGAATTTTCTTGTGAAACATAAGCGGATCTGAATTCATGCATAGAACCTGGGATGAAATTGCTCAACAGGTTGACAGTTTGCAAGTTCATTAATCTTGTTTTTCATAGGAGCGCAATGTCCTTGTTTTCGGCAAGGACATATTACACGTCCCTGGGTGGGCTCGAACCACCAACCTTTCGGTTAACAGCCGAACGCGCTGTCCAATTGCGCCACAGAGACTTATGAGTGTTCCAACTCTTTACATGGCATAATTTTGCCCCGATTGACACTAACGCTGTTTCACTTAATTGTTATAACTGCACAAGTGGACCTGCAATGGACTGTCAACCTGTATCCCACCTGTTTGCCTAGAGACTGCTGGAGAAAGGCACCAGCCCCCTGTAAACTGATGGATGCATGGAATGTCGTTAATGTCGTATAAACTATCCAGCGGTCAGGTTTTTCGAACAAGTGAACTCCCCAAAAATAACTGATCACACAAATTGAATTTTCTTGTGAAACATAAGCGGATCTGAATTCATGCGTTGAACCTGGGCTAAAATTGCTCAACAGGTTGACAGTTTGCAAGTTCATTAATCTTGTTTTTCATAGGAGCGCAATGTCCTTATTTTCGGCAAGGACATAGCACACGTCCCTGGGTGGGCTCGAACCACCAACCTTTCGGTTAACAGCAGAATGCGCTGTCCAGTTGCGCCACAGAGACTTGTGAGTGTTCCAACCCTTTACATGGCATAATTTTGCCCCGATTGACACTAACGTTATTTCACTTAATTGTTATAACTGCACAAGTGGACCTGCAATGGACTGTCAACCTGTACCCCACCTGTTTGCCTAGAGACTGCTGGAGATAGGCACCAGCCCCCAGTAAACTGATGGATATATGGAACCTTGTTAATGTCGTATAAACTATCCAGCGGTCAGGTTTTTCAAACAATTGAACTCCCCCAAAAGACTGATCACACAAATTGAATTTTCTTGTGAAACATAAGGGAATCTGAATTCATGCATTGAACCTGGGCTGAAATTGCTCAACAGGTTGACAGTTTGCAAGTTCATTAATCTTGTTTTTCATAGGAGCGCAATGTCCTTATTTTCGGCAAGGACATAGCACACGTCCCTGGGTGGGCTCGAACCACCAACCTTTCGGTTAACAGCAGAATGCGCTGTCCAGTTGCGCCACAGAGACTTGTGAGTGTTCCAACCCTTTACATGGCATAATTTTGCCCCGATTGACACTAACGTTATTTCACTTAATTGTTATAACTGCACAAGTGGACCTGCAATGGACTGTCAACCTGTACCCCACCTGTTTGCCTAGAGACTGCTGGAGATAGGCACCAGCCCCCAGTAAACTGATGGATATATGGAACCTTGTTAATGTCGTATAAACTATCCAGCGGTCAGGTTTTTCAAACAATTGAACTCCCCCAAAAGACTGATCACACAAATTGAATTTTCTTGTGAAACATAAGGGAATCTGAATTCATGCATTGAACCTGGGCTGAAATTGCTCAACAGGTTGACAGTTTGCAAGTTCATTAATCTTGTTTTTCATAGAAGCGCAATGTCCTTAATTTTCGGCAAGGACATATTACACGTCCCTGGGTGGGCTCGAACCACCAACCTTTCGGTTAACAGCCGAACGCGCTAACCAATTGCGCCACAGAGACTTGTGAAATGTCCCAACCCTTTACATGGCATAATTTTGCCCCGATTGACACTAACGCTGTTTCACTTAATTGTTATAACTGGACAAGAGGACCTGCAATGGACTGTCAACCTGTACTCCACCTGTTTGCCTAGAGACTGCTGGAGATAGGCACCAGCCCCCAGTAAACTGATGGATGTATGGAACATCGTTAATGTCGTATAAACTTTCCAGTGGTCAGGATAATAAAACAAGTGAACGCCCCAAAAATTACTGATCACACAAATTGAATTTTCTTGTGAAACATAAGCTGATCTGAATTCATGCGTTGAACCTGGGCTAAAATTGCTCAATAGGTTGACAGTTTGCAAGTTCATTAATCATGTTTTTCATAGAAATGCAATGCCCTTAAATTTTAGCAAGGACATATTACACGTCCCTGGGTGGGCTCGAACCCCCAACCTTTCGGTTAAAAGCTGAACGCGCTAACCAATTGCGCCACAGAGACTTGTGGAAATGAACACTTGACGTGGTATAATTTTGCCTCGCTTGACACTAACGCTTTTGGACTTAATTGTTATAACTGCACAAGTGGAACTGCAATGGACTGTCAACCTGTACCCCACCTGTTTGCCTAGAGACTGCTGGAGATAGGCACCAGCCCCCAGTAAACTGATGGATATATGGAACCTTGTTAATGTCGTATAAACTATCCAGCGGTCAGGTTTTTCAAACAATTGAACTCCCCCAAAAGACTGATCACACAAATTGAATTTTCTTGTGAAACATAAGGGAATCTGAATTCATGCATTGAACCTGGGCTGAAATTGCTCAACAGGTTGACAGTTTGCAAGTTCATTAATCTTGTTTTTCATAGAAGCGCAACGTCCTTAATTTTCGGCAAAGACATATTACACGTCCCTGGGTGGGCTCGAACCACCAACCTTTTGCTTAACAGCCGAACGCGCTAACCAATTGCGCCACAGAGACTTGTGAAATGTTCCAACCCTTTACATGGCATAATTTTTCCCCGATTGACACTAACGCTGTTTCACTTAATTGTTATAACTACACAAGTGGACCTGCAATGGACTGTCAACCTGTACCCCACCTGTTTGCCTAGAGACTGCTGGAGATAGGCACCAGCCCCCAGTAAACTGATGGATATATGGAACCTTGTTAATGTCGTATAAACTATCCAGCGGTCAGGTTTTTCAAACAATTGAACTCCCCCAAAAGACTGATCACACAAATTGAATTTTCTTGTGAAACATAAGGGAATCTGAATTCATGCATTGAACCTGGGCTGAAATTGCTCAACAGGTTGACAGTTTGCAAGTTCATTAATCTTGTTTTTCATAGAAGCGCAATGTCCTTAATTTTCGGCAAGGACATATTACACGTCCCTGGGTGGGCTCGAACCACCAACCTTTCGGTTAACAGCCGAACGCGCTAACCAATTGCGCCACAGAGACTTGTGAAATGTCCCAACCCTTTACATGGCATAATTTTGCCCCGATTGACACTAACGCTGTTTCACTTAATTGTTATAACTGGACAAGAGGACCTGCAATGGACTGTCAACCTGTACCCCACCTGTTTGCCTAGAGACTGCTGGAGATAGGCACCAGCCCCCTGTAAACTGATGTATATATGGAACCTCGTTAATGTCGTATAAACTATCCAGCGGTCAGGTTTATAAAACAAGTGAACTCCCAAGAAAAACTGTTCACACAAATGGAATTTTCTTGTGAAACATAAGCGGATCTGAATTCATGCATAGAACCTGGGCTGAAATTGCTCAACAGGTTGACAGTTTGCAAGTTCATTAATCTTGTTTTTCATAGGAGCGCAATGTCCTTATTTTCGGCAAGGACATATTACACGTCCCTGGGTGGGCTCGAACCACCAACCTTTCGGTTAACAGCCGAACGCGCTGTCCAATTGCGCCACAGAGACTTATGAGTGTTCCAACTCTTTACATGGCATAATTTTGCCCCGATTGACACTAACGCTGTTTCACTTAATTGTTATAACTGCACAAGTGGACCTGCAATGGACTGTCAACCTGTATCCCACCTGTTTGCCTAGAGACTGCTGGAGAAAGGCACCAGCCCCCTGTAAACTGATGGATGCATGGAATGTCGTTAATGTCGTATAAACTATCCAGCGGTCAGGTTTTTCGAACAAGTGAACTCCCCAAAAATAACTGATCACACAAATTGAATTTTCTTGTGAAACATAAGCGGATCTGAATTCATGCGTTGAACCTGGGCTAAAATTGCTCAACAGGTTGACAGTTTGCAAGTTCATTAATCTTGTTTTTCATAGGAGCGCAATGTCCTTATTTTCGGCAAGGACATAGCACACGTCCCTGGGTGGGCTCGAACCACCAACCTTTCGGTTAACAGCAGAATGCGCTGTCCAGTTGCGCCACAGAGACTTGTGAGTGTTCCAACCCTTTACATGGCATAATTTTGCCCCGATTGACACTAACGTTATTTCACTTAATTGTTATAACTGCACAAGTGGACCTGCAATGGACTGTCAACCTGTACCCCACCTGTTTGCCTAGAGACTGCTGGAGATAGGCACCAGCCCCCAGTAAACTGATGGATATATGGAACCTTGTTAATGTCGTATAAACTATCCAGCGGTCAGGTTTTTCAAACAATTGAACTCCCCCAAAAGACTGACCACACAAATTGAATTTTCTTGTGAAACATAAGGGAATCTGAATTCATGCATTGAACCTGGGCTGAAATTGCTCAACAGGTTGACAGTTTGCAAGTTCATTAATCTTGTTTTTCATAGAAGCGCAATGTCCTTAATTTTCGGCAAGGACATATTACACGTCCCTGGGTGGGCTCGAACCACCAACCTTTCGGTTAACAGCCGAACGCGCTAACCAATTGCGCCACAGAGACTTGTGAAATGTCCCAACCCTTTACATGGCATAATTTTGCCCCGATTGACACTAACGCTGTTTCACTTAATTGTTATAACTGGACAAGAGGACCTGCAATGGACTGTCAACCTGTACTCCACCTGTTTGCCTAGAGACTGCTGGAGATAGGCACCAGCCCCCAGTAAACTGATGGATGTATGGAACATCGTTAATGTCGTATAAACTTTCCAGTGGTCAGGTTAATAAAACAAGTGAACGCCCCAAAAATATCTGATCACACAAATTGAATTTTCTTGTGAAACATAAGCTGATCTGAATTCATGCGTTGAACCTGGGCTAAAATTGCTCAATAGGTTGACAGTTTGCAAGTTCATTAATCTTGTTTTTCATAGAAATGCAATGCCCTTAAATTTTAGCAAGGACATATTACACGTCCCTGGGTGGGCTCGAACCCCCAACCTTTCGGTTAAAAGCTGAACGCGCTAACCAATTGCGCCAAAGAGACTTGTGGGAATGAACACTTGACGTGGTATAATTTTGCCTCGCTTGACACTAACGCTTTTGGACTTAATTGTTATAACTGCACAAGTGGAACTGCAATGGACTGTCAACCTGTACCCCACCTGTTTGCCTAGAGACTGCTGGAGATAGGCACCAGCCCCCAGTAAACTGATGGATATATGGAACCTTGTTAATGTCGTATAAACTATCCAGCGGTCAGGTTTTTCAAACAATTGAACTCCCCCAAAAGACTGATCACACAAATTGAATTTTCTTGTGAAACATAAGGGAATCTGAATTCATGCATTGAACCTGGGCTGAAATTGCTCAACAGGTTGACAGTTTGCAAGTTCATTAATCTTGTTTTTCATAGAAGCGCAACGTCCTTAATTTTCGGCAAAGACATATTACACGTCCCTGGGTGGGCTCGAACCACCAACCTTTTGCTTAACAGCCGAACGCGCTAACCAATTGCGCCACAGAGACTTGTGAAATGTTCCAACCCTTTACATGGCATAATTTTTCCCCGATTGACACTAACGCTGTTTCACTTAATTGTTATAACTACACAAGTGGACCTGCAATGGACTGTCAACCTGTACCCCACCTGTTTGCCTAGAGACTGCTGGAGATAGGCACCAGCCCCCAGTAAACTGATGGATATATGGAACCTTGTTAATGTCGTATAAACTATCCAGCGGTCAGGTTTTTCAAACAATTGAACTCCCCCAAAAGACTGATCACACAAATTGAATTTTCTTGTGAAACATAAGGGAATCTGAATTCATGCATTGAACCTGGGCTGAAATTGGTCAACAGGTTGACAGTTTGCAAGTTCATTAATCTTGTTTTTCATAGAAGCGCAATGTCCTTAATTTTCGGCAAGGACATATTACACGTCCCTGGGTGGGCTCGAACCACCAACCTTTCGGTTAACAGCCGAACGCGCTAACCAATTGCGCCACAGAGACTTGTGAAATGTCCCAACCCTTTACATGGCATAATTTTGCCCCGATTGACACTAACGCTGTTTCACTTAATTGTTATAACTGGACAAGAGGACCTGCAATGGACTGTCAACCTGTACCCCACCTGTTTGCCTAGAGACTGCTGGAGATAGGCACCAGCCCCCAGTAAACTGATGGATGTATGGAACATCGTTAATGTCGTATAAACTTTCCAGTGGTCAGGTTAATAAAACAAGTGAACTCCCCAAAAATTACTGATCACACAAATTGAATTTTCTTGTGACACATAAGGGAATCTGAATTCATGCATTGAACCTGGGCTGAAATTGCTCAATAGGTTGACAGTTTGCAAGTTCATTAATCTTGTTTTTCATAGATATGCAATGCACTTAATTTTTAGCAAGGACATATTACACGTCCCTGGGTGGGCTCGAACCACCAACCTTTCGGTTAACAGCCGAACGCGCTAACCAATTTCACCACAGAGACTTGTGGAAATGAACACTTGACATGGTATAATTTTGCATCGCTTGACACTAACGCTTTTTGACTTAATTGTTATAACTGGACAAGAGGACCTGCAATGGACTGTCAACCTGTACCCCACCTGTTTGCCTAGAGACTGCTGGAGATAGGCACCAGCCCCCAGTAAACTGATGGATATATGGAACCTCGTTAATGTCGTATAAACTATCCAGCGGTCAGGTTTTTCAAACAATTGAACTCCCCCAAAAGACTGATCACACAAATTGAATTTTCTTGTGAAACATAAGGGAATCTGAATTCATGCATTGAACCTGGGCTGAAATTGCTCAACAGGTTGACAGTTTGCAAGTTCATTAATCTTGTTTTTCATAGAAACACAATGTCCTTAATTTTCGGCAAGGACATATTACACGTCCCTGGGTGGGCTCGGACCACCAAACTTTCGGTTAACAGCCGATTGCGCTAACCAATTGCGCCACAGAGACTTTTGAAGAACACTTGACGTGGTATAATTTTGCCTCGCTTGACACTAACGCTTTTTGACTTAATTGTTATAACTGGACAAGTGGACCTGCAATGGACTGTCAACCTGTACCCCACCTGTTTGCCTAGAGACTGCTGGAGATAGGCACCAGCCCCCAGTAAACTGATGGATATATGGAACCTCGTTAATGTCGTATAAACTATCCAGCGGTCAGGTTTTTCAAACAATTGAACTCCCCCAAAAGACTGATCACACAAATTGAATTTTCTTGTGAAACATAAGGGAATCTGAATTCATGCATTGAACCTGGGCTGAAATTGCTCAACAGGTTGACAGTTTTCAAGTTCATTAATCTTGTTTTTCATAGATATGCAATGCCCTTAATTTTCGGCAAGGACATATTACACGTCCCTGGGTGGGCTCGAACCACCAACCTTTCGGGTAAACAGCCGAACGCGCTGTCCCAATTGCGCCACAGAGACTTGTGAGTGTTCCAACCCTTTACATGGCATAATTTTACCCCGATTGACACTAACGCTGTTTCACTTAATTGTTATAACTGCACAAGTGGACCTGCAATGGACTGTCAACCTGTACCCCACCTATTTGCCTAGAGACTGCTGGAGAAAGGCACCAGCCCCCTGTAAACTGACGGATGTATGGAACATCGTTAATGTCGTAGAAACTATCCAGTTGTCAGGTTTATAAAACAAGTGAACTCCCCAGAAATTACTGATCACACAAATTGAATTTTCTTTTGAAACTTAAGGGAATCTGAATTCATGCATTGAACCTGGGCTGAAATTGCTCAACAGGTTGACAGTTTGCAAGTTCATTAATCTTGTTTTTCATAGAAGTGCAATGTCCTTAATTTTCGGCAAGGACATATCACACGTGCCTGGGTGGGCTCGAACCACCAACCTTTCGGTTAACAGCCGATTGCGCTAACCAATTGCGCCACAGAGACTTTTGAAGAACACTTGAAGTGGTATAATTTTGCCTCGCTTGACACTAACGCTTTTTGACTTAATTGTTATAACTGCACAAGTGGACCTGCAATGGACTGTCAACCTGTACCCCACCTGTTTGCCTAGAGACTGCTGGAGATAGGCACCAGCCCCCAGTAAACTGATGGATATATGGAACCTCGTTAATGTCGTATAAACTATCCAGCGGTCAGGTTTTTCAAACAATTGAACTCCCCCAAAAGACTGATCACACAAATTGAATTTTCTTGTGAAACATAAGGGAATCTGAATTCATGCATTGAACCTGGGCTGAAATTGCTCAAGAGGTTGACAGTTTGCAAGTTCATTAATCTTGTTTTTCATAGAAGCGCAATGTCCTTAATTTTCGGCAAGGACATATTACACGTCCCTGGGTGGGCTCGAACCACCAACCTTTCGGTTAACAGCCGAACGCGCTAACCAATTGCGCCACAGAGACTTGTGAGTGTTCCAACCCTTTACATGGCATAATTTTGCCCCGATTGACACTAACGTTATTTCACTTAATTGTTATAACTGCACAAGTGGACCTGCAATGGACTGTCAACCTGTACCCCACCTGTTTGCCTAGAGACTGCTGGAGAAAGGCACCAGCCCCCTGTAAACTGATGGATGTATGGAACGTCGTTAATGTCGTATAAACTATCCATTGGTCAGGTTTATAAAACAAGTGAACTCCCCAAAAATTACTGATCACACAAATTGAATTTTCTTGTGAAACATAAACTGATCTGAATTCATGCGTTGAACCTGGGCTAAAATTGCTCAACATGTTGACTGTTTGCAATTTCATTAATCTTGTTTTTCATAGATATGCAATGCCCTTAATTTTCGGCAAGGACATATTACACGTCCCTGGGTGGGCTCGAACCACCAACCTTTCGGTTAACAGCCGAACGCGCTGTTCCAATTGCGCCACAGAGACTTGTGAGTGTTCCAACCCTTTACATGGTATAATTTTACCCCGATTGACACTAACGCTGTTTCACTTAATTGTTATAACTGCACAAGTGGACGTGCAATGGACTGTCAACCTGTACCCCACCTGTTTGCCTAGAGACTGCTGGAGAAAGGCACCAGCCCCCTGTA